GAAAAAGATTTTGTTGAAGAATAAGAGTTTGTAAAATGAATACATCAAGTAATAGARAGAATGAATAATACCTAAATTAGTATTATGATATTAAACTTGAAAAAACATCTTGTTGAATAATAACAATTTATAAAATAATAAAAGAAATCAAGTGACGGAGAGASTGAAAAAGGTTTACCTAAAAAAAGATTTCAAGTCTTTTGCATACATCAAATATTAAAAAAAAATCAAAAGTCTAAGAAAAAAAAAGATAGACTTGTAATGTTTAGAGGATGACACCTTATTATGTTCGGCTTATCCTTTAATATATATATATATATATATATATGTGTGTGTGTGTGTGTGTGTGTGTGTGTAGATTGTGATGGAATAACCAAATCCATAAATGATGGGATATGTCGAACTCAATTCCAATTCGTAGGCAAAACCAAACGCTTGAATGGAATTTGGTCATCAGAATCGATCATTCCAATTCCTTCAACTTCCGCCGCCATCCTACAAATCAAATGCCTCCTAAGTGTCTTGATAAATTKCTTTATAAGACTTACGTTTATAGGACCAATCAAACCATACAACGTCTTATCTAAAAGTATTATAATACATATTTATAGAACCCTTTTGCACCTCGTATATGAGTGGCAAGAGAGCGCTTATGCCTCACCGGGTGGGGGGTCTTAACAACTTTTTAGGATATTTTTAAATAAGGCGTCGTATTCGCTACTTTATAGAACATTTTTAAAAAGTGTCATATAAACACATTTATTTGGGAAAAATATTGATTAGCTGCAATTCCAATCGGCCTCACACAAAGTACCCATCTTCAAGGACACCAATATAAATGGACAATTTTTGACTCACTCCATGGTCAAGACTAGCAGGAGGTATGAGATCGATTCCTGGACATGTCTTTTTGGAGAAAATCACATTTATTTACATGATACTTTATTTTGTTAACACTCCTTTAAAAGGTGTCATGAAATATTAATAAGAGSTTTTATTTGAAATGTGTATTAAAAAACTTATTATGACGAGCATAACCTTATTGTACAGTACACTACATGACTTTAATTTTTGGTGCCAACTACAAGAATTTCCGCCGCCAGTTCCTTCAAAATTTTCCACCTGAGTTTCGTTCTAATTCCATTTAAGCGAAGCACATGTAAGCTGCCTCCATGAAGAATGTTCATCGGGGGTTAAACATGTTTAGGAACAATATTGGCTTTGAAATTGAAAGCCATTATGACATAATTCTTCATTCCTGTAACAGTTTAGCTTTTCTCGCACAGGTACACTCCTTTCTTACTACCACCGGCATTATCAAGCAAAGTGTTCATTTGGGTGCACGGGTTATCATCAAATATTCCGACTTCTTGCATCTTGAAAGTGCTAGGTTCGTGTTTGATGCMACCGATCATGAATCCAGTTCTTTCTTGTGGAACACGATGCTCCGTGCCTATGCAAACACTGGTTTCTGCTCGGAGGCTTTGGAATTCTATTCACTTATGCGCAAAACTGGCGTTCAACCGAATAATTACACATTCCCATTTGCTCTCAAATCGTGCGCAGCTAATTTGTTGTCTACCTATGGAAAATTGGTTCATTCTGAAGTAATAAGAACTGGGTTCGGTTCAGATATTTATGTGGAGGCCGCTCTTGTTGATATGTATGCAGGATGTGGTCTTATTGAAGATGGTCGCAAGGTGTTTGATAAAATGTCAAAGAGGGATCTTGTGTGCTGGACTGCAATGATCACAGCTTATGAACAAGCTGAGATGGCTGAGACAGCTTTGTTTCTGCTTCATCAAATGCAACAAGAGGGACTCTCATTGGATTGGGTTACAACTGTGACAGTTGCGTCTGCTATTGGCCAGTTAGGAGATGCCAAGAGAGGTCGGGCCGTTCATGGATACGCCATTCGTAATGCATTCTTTCAAGAGTTACCCGTCGTTAATTCCATTCTAGCCATGTATGCCAAATGTGGGGAGATTGAAAATGCAGAACTGATCTTTGATCATACAAAGCAAAGAAATTGCATAACTTGGAATTCTATGCTTACTTGCTATACCCAAAATGGACTAGCTAGCGAAGCTCTGTTACTTTTTGAACGAATGAAGATATCCAATGTCAATCCTAATCAGGTGACGGCATTGATCCTTGTTTCAGCATGTGCTTATCTTGGTTCCCGTCAGCTTGCAACCAAGATCCATGATTTTATTCTCCAAAACGAAATAGAAATCAACCTAACATTGTGGAACGCGATACTGGACATGTATGCCAAATGTGCAAATTTGGAAACTGCTTTAAAAATGTTCAAAGAAGTGCCYGTGAGCCACCTTGATGTGAGTTCCTGGAACACTTTAATATCAGGGTTTGGCATGCATGGTTATGGAAAAGAAGCACTCARACACTTCAGCAAGATGATAAATGAAGGCTTTCAACCAAACCACATCACCTTCATTTCTGTTCTTTCTGCTTGTAGCCATGCAGGGCTTGTTGATGAAGGAAAAAAGTGTTTCTCAGAAATGGAAAGATTATCTGTGACACCAGAGCCAAAACATTTCKCTTGTATGGTTGATATGCTTGGCCGAGCTGGACTCTTAGATGAAGCTTACGAATTGATAAAAAGTATGCCATCAGAGCCAAATGACGAAATTTGGGGAGCTTTGCTTTTGGCTTGTAAAATTTATGGAAATACAAATTTAGCAAAAGTTGCTGCTGATAATCTTTTCCACCTTGAACCACAACATACCGGATATTATGTATTAATGTCAAATATCTATGCAGCTTCAAGAAATTGGCAAGAAGTTGGAAATCTGAGACAAGATATGAAAAATAAAGGGTTAAGAAAGCCTGCAGCACTGAGTTTGATTGAGTTTAATAACGAGTTGCATGGTTTTCACACTGGGGAGCAGTTGGATCCGTTTACGAGAGACATTTATCGAAAGGTAGAGGGGATGGTTGTAGAACTAAAAATGGCAGGTTATATTCCTGATTTATCTTGTGTATTTCATGATGTAGAAGATGAAGATAAGGACAGCATGCTCAACTATCATAGTGAAAAGCTAGCTTTGGCTTTTGGGCTCATAAATATTGATACAAGATTGCCTATCCGCATAACGAAGAATCTTAGAGTTTGCAGTGATTGCCATTCGACTTTTAAATTGGTTTCTTATGTGTATGGAAGGAAAATTGTAGTGAGAGATGTGAACCGCTTCCATCATTTTGAAGGTGGTTCGTGTTCGTGCAATGACTACTGGTAATGCAGAGATTATATGGATGCGGGTGCTTKCTTTCCTCAAGTCGACTACAGGTGCATTCTTTGTCACTGAAATACATTCATATAAATTTTAGAATTGAAGGTTATTTATTTGACCTTTAAGTTAAAAGCAAGMCAAACCAAACCCAACAAACCACATCCGGAGGTAGATCTAAGGGTAGGATGCATGCAGACGTTATCTCTGTCTCAAGAGACAGAGAGCCTGCTTTTGAGAAAACCCCCAGCTTGTGAATAAAGTTAAGTAAAATAATAAATAACAGAAAAAGTATATTATATTAGGAGAATTAAATTGTTATCGTCAGAAACTGACAAAGGTTGTTGAATAGTCTTTACAAATGCTGTGTGGAGATGATGAAACATAAATCTTTGATTTTTGTATGTATGAATCCCAGAAGAAGATTCTCTCTCCAAGCACATAAAATCCTATTCTTCTCCTAYCTTTTTGAATTTTACTCTATGGAATTAAGGTAGGATTTTTTTTGGTGGATCTATGATTTTGGACCAATTATTTCTAAAGACGAAGGATCGTGAGAGAATAAGAGTTAAGGTGAGAAATGTAAGAAGTGATTTGGACCCTTGATCACTTTTAGTTAGTGTTGATCTAATGGTTCAGATTAAGTCCCGAAATAACCATGAATTCAATTGATCTTCAATTAGGATTGGTCCAAGGGTGGAGATCCCTTCTTACCCTTCTCATGATAACTACTATTCCTACCRTAACCTAACTCTATATATAAAAGTATTTCATTGGGATAAGAACTGCAAACACTTGCAGGATTTGTATATGTRTTACAGTTCTGATCCATATCTTCTTTATATTGCTCGACTGCAGATGGTCCTTGGATCAAGAGATCTTTTTTCACCATCTTACAGTGAATCTTTCTAGGGATCTCCCAAGATGAAGGTGGTAAAATATTTACCGGACCTCCCCAGGGAATTCTTGACAACCCATTGGACCAAATCCAGTTTGGTGATGTTTCTGAGATCAGTAGCAAAAGAAACAATTTATGCCGGCTCTCGCGTGCCATTGATCACCAGATCAAGATTCTGATGCCTGTAAGTTTWTCAGCCTCATTGATTCTAATTTAAGCTCCTAGCGCTCGGAAACAAGTGGTGTTGTGGCTCCTCATTTGGGTGGTTATTAGTTGTCAATGTTGACAATGGTGAAACCAGCTTACTGAATCCAATTTGGATGAAGATAGGAATGAGGTATGGTACGTGATAAAGGCAATCTTRTGAGCTCCTCCAACCAGGACCCAAGACTTTATATCATAATGGCCTTTATGAACTTATGGGCACTAGACAGGTGATAGAAAGCTTACCACTTTAACTAAAAACTCTGGCCCCTGTGAAGAAAATATGAGCGTSACCTCCCGTAGTGAAAAGTTGTTTGCCTTCATAAACTGGAGAGGCCTTCTGATCACTTGGGATCTTTCATGTTATTCTAAAAGGGCTCGTCTTTGACGCCATGTTAAGCCCATGATGCCATTGCTTGACAGCCGGTTTTTGTGACGCTATTTTCTTACACCTTTTTAGTGTCTTAAGTTTTTCGTTTTTGGTATATAACCTAATTTAAATTGTTYARTATCATTGATATATTGAGTAAGAGTAGAAAACATGTATACATATACAATATATAGATTTGTCGCCATATGTTATGCTTTGAAAAACGTTGTAGCATTGTCGTGGCTCGTAAGGCTTRAGAYTTGACCTCTCCACCATGCCAATCTCAAGCCATTTAGAACCTTGGATCTACATGAGATGGCAGTATTATACCTCACTCATAGAACACAACTCCTAGAAGTATTACTTACTATCAGGAGGAGGTGGACCTACATGTGGGGGCATATGGTGGCGGGTGTCACCATTTCATGGTTTCGTCATAGTAGAAAAAAGAACTACATTTCTAAATGGTGTCACCGTAGCATGCCCCCATMTTTTTTGAAACTAAACTTATGACATAAGCTTGTGAAATGATGCAGGTTTTAGTGAATTTCCAGTGGTCAAATTTAATTTCGGTTTTTATACCTTTCGTTATAAAAAAGAGGAAAGCTGGAGGGAGAAGGGTCGAACCCATGATCTTTCGAAGCAAAGAATAGCAWCAAAGCAGCTAATAGTAATCTATTACATGATATTATGAAAAACTTCTATAGCTTTGACCCTTTATGTGAGTTTATCTTCTTTTTAGTTGTGTTAGTTCGTGTTTCTTCTTTATATTATTTTATTTTTATTGGAGTTGTTGAGAATGTCTTTATGGTTATACACATCRTTTTTGGGTTAAATGTTGGATTGAGGAATCTGTTCACTGTGTCACCACTAMGGTGGACGACGTTAGTTTGAGGATAACTGAAAAACAGCTTTGCAAATAATCTTATACTTATTTCAGCTATATTACGGCAATATTGAAGGGTAGACTCTAGATATAAAGAAAGATTTGGATAAGATTTCATRGTGATATTATTTATTACATGGGGCCTCCAAAGAAGAAAGGAAGGTTGTAGTTTGCATTTTGCAAGATAATAGAAGGAGAAAGGCCTTGTTGTCCAAGAGGTCTTTTGAAGTTTTTTTTTCCAGTGGGTAAAATGATGTACATCTCTCCTTCTCCCCTGCATAAAGAGGCCATGGGTGAAGCTTTTAAAGAAGAGCCGGATAAATGTAGATRTTCCAGTCATTTCTCTCTACGTTTATAGTTTGTAATTTATTTTTAAGTATTTAATTTTCAGCACTATTGACAACTGTGGTGTTGTGGTAACAGTTTGTATTTTATTTTCAACACAAAGTAACTTTTAGGTAGTGTTTGATATGCAAACATAGTTGGACAGGACCGGACAGGACAAAACAAGAGGATAGGACTGGACAGGACATAACTGAACATAACATGAGTATGTTTAGTGTTTGGTACGACTACGACTGGACGGTACAGAACTAGACAAGCTACCCCCGAAAGTTATTTGATGATTTTAAATATTATATAACAGTTATAATTAACACAAATGAAATAAATAATTAAATAATTTAATTTATAAATATTTGTACATCATTTTCATATCTGTACCAAATTTGAATGAAAATGTTGATGAAATTGATGGTAGTAGTGGTGGTAGTGGTGGAGGAGGTTTTGGTTATGATGGAGGTGATGGTGGCCGACGATAGTAATGGCAACGGGCGGTGGTGGTCAGTGGTCGACGGTAGTAGTGGCAACGGGTGATGGTGGTCGATGGCCGACAGTGGTTATGGAGGTAGAGGCAGTGGTGCTTGGTGGACGACGGTGGTTATAGAGGATATGAAGATGGTAGATTGTGGTGGCGGTTGAGGAGGTAGTTGTGGTTGATGTAGTGAAGATAGTGATGGTGGTGGTTATGGTGGAGGTGAGGTGGCAATGAATGGTGGTGGCCGATGGTGRTCGTGGAGGAGGTTGTTGCATTAGAGGAGGAGTTGAAGGTGGCGAACGGCGGTAGTGGTGGTGGCAATGGACGGTGGTGGTCGGTGGTCGACTATGGTAGAGGTGGCAATGGACTTGGTGGACGGTGRTTGTGGAGGCGGTAGAGGATGTTGTTGTAGTGGAAGAGGAGGTGACCATCGGTAGTGGTGGCGGCGGCCGAAACTAGCGGTGATGACCATTAAAACAAATACCATATTAATGTTATATATCAAACCAGGGTAGATTAGTAATATTTTAGTTTTTGTCTCATTCTTGTCTCATCTTGTTCCACCTATTTTGGTGGAACAAGAAAAAACCTCTTTTGTCCCATGTTGTCTCACCTTGTCCCAGTTCTTATCCCTGTCCCATGTCGTGCCAAACGTGGGACAGTGACTTCTTGTTCTATCCCATGTTGCGCCAAACATGGGACAGTGAGTTTTGTCCCGTCCTGTCCTGTCCCGTCCCATGTACCAAACGCAGCCTTGAGTATTTTACTTTTTCTACCATGTTCTCTATTTTTATTATGAGCTAAGCACCTTCTTGGGTGTGAGTGCGGGTGTAAGCCAAACTTAAGACTAGTAGAAGTGTTGCCAAATTTGTTAATTCTTAAGTTTGGTCATTTGAGTCAAAGCTTAAACTCAATGTGGATAAACCAATCACTTTGAAGTGTTAATATTAGATCTTAGATACAAAGATGGACGTACTCGAAATACGGCTTAAGTGATTCATAAATATTTGAGAAAGGTCTTTGATAATTACGTAGAGATACRAGTTTTATATGGTTTTCGCTAAGGTTTAATGTTGGTCTAGATTTACAGTACACAAAGATTTGAGTATAAATCTGCATACTAAAAGAACTTTAATTTATTATATCAACTTAGCTAAATTGGAAAACTTAGAATCTGCAATAGTGGAATTTTTGCGACTGTCTATAAAAATTCACTTTCGAAAGATCAGAATTTTTATAGACGTTTTTGAGATACGAGTTTCTGATCATTTGTGACACCACAATTGTCTCGAGTAAAACTTACATACACACCCATTTTAATTAGGGCAAAATGCGCAAAACGATAACATACTTTTACAAATTTTCTTATTATAGCATTGTGCTTTCAGTTTTTCTTATTACAACAATGTACTTTTAATATATTTTTTATTAGGGCATCATATTTTTAAAAATTTATCCGTTATAGCATTGGGTAACCTTTTAAATTAGATTTACTCATTATACCAGATTTTTTTGCCACCTCATCGTCCACGTAGGCTGTCCACATGTACGATAGTGCTGACATGACGTTTCTTATTACAACATTGTACTTTAAAATTACTTTATTATACCTCACCAATTTCTATTATAACATTTTACTTACTTTTAATATTTTTATCATTTAAACATGGTAAATTTAATCAAATATGTTTACTAAAAATTATAATATCAAAAATTAAATATGTTTACAAAAGATCATTATTTCACGAATAAAAATATTCATAAAAAAAAAACCATTTGTTCATGTCAACACTATCGTACATGTGAACAAACTACATGAACAATGAGATAACAAAGGAACCTAGTATAATGATAAATTTAATTTAAAAGGTTATCCAATACTATAACGGATAAATTTTTGAAAGTACGATGCTCTAGTAAAAAATATTTTGAAATTACATTGYTGTAATAAGAAAAACTAAAAAATACAATGCTATAATAAGAAAATTTGTAAAAGTAAGTTATTATTTCGTGCATTTTACCCTTTTAATTACTTGTTTATATTTCGTTGTTAAAAGCACCGAAACTCGCTCAGATATATTTTCTTCTTCTMTAATTGAAATCATTGCATTCTCAACTTCGACTCGAAACTTTGAAGCCCGAACCCCGTGAATACAATCTCGGTCTTGTCACCACTTTATTACTTGAAAACAATCATARTAGTTGATGTATACTTACACCGTTATTGTACCACATTTATATGTGTGTATTTTTGGTACCACACCTAATAGGATGAGATCCCAATCATCGTAATCATACTCGAACGATAAGGATCCAAAACTAAATCTAAGACGTTTATTTTTTCATTAAGGGCCTGTTTACTTGTGGCTTAATGAGCTTACCGGATAAACGGACTTATTCACACAGCCATTTGAGGCTGTTTACTTGGAGCTTATTCGCCCAAACAGGGGCTTATTCGCACAGACCAATATCATCACTTGTCCACATTAAGCCAACAAAAAGACCTGCCTACCCTTGTAATAGAAAACCCACGCTCTCTCCTTCGACAGGTTCGCTTTCTCCTCCAAAACCCTAATCGCGATTTTGCTGCTCATATTGCTTCCGATTTTGCTGCTCGTTATCCAATCTTCTCTTCTGTTCGATTCGCTTGTCCACATTAAGCCAACAATATGATCGATTTTGATGCTCTTATGTTCGATTTGCTCGATTCGCTTTTATCTGTTGATGCTCGATTCGCTCTTATGTTCGATTTTGTATGCTCGGTTTGCTCTTCGATTTTGTATGCTCGGTTTGCTGCTCGATTTTGTATGCTCTGTTTGCTGTTCGATTTTGTATGCTCGGTTTGCTGTTCGACTTTGTATGCTYGGTTTGMTGTTCGATTTTGTATGCTCGGTTTGCTGCTCGCTCTTATATTTGGAATCAGAGTCTGCTTAAATTATTTGGCTCGATTATCACGTTATTAGTTTGGAATCAGAGTCTGATAACTTGGTTGCTGCTTGGTTACTGCTTGCTTCTTAAATTAAACCTTGATAACTTAGGTGTACAATGTTCATTATTTGTTTATTGCTTCTGATTTGCAGCTCGATATGTGTTTNATTAGATTTATATAACTGATAGTTTACTCCATTTGGCTCATTTCCTCACATGATTGTAGGGTCCCCTCATGAAAGCTTTGGTTCCATGTGAGACGTTATGGCCTCATGTTCAAATGTCTCGTCCTTATCTCCATTCATACTCAAAATCAAAATATCCCATCAAAATTCATTTATAAATTTCCAGGCTAAAACTACAAATTTCACCACAATTYCAAGATTAACGACCATATAAAAGGTAATAGGTAATATACAACAAAACTTACAACCGGACTGCGAGTATAACGAATCATAGATATCTGTTTGGCATATACTCGTGAATTCTGAGCGGAAAATTGTAAAACTCCTCGTTTCGACCGTCACCTTTCCGGTGCTGAAAAGGGGCCCACCACGGGACCCCTCTGTCCTCCCGTGCGTTGTGTGCATCCAGTGTGTTGTCCAGTATAGTTCCCACGATCATTGCCACGGTCGGAGGAGACGAGAAAATGGTGTTCAATATATCGTCAAACTGCAAAAGTAGCGAGCATATATGTAAGAACAGCAAATTACATGAAAATGCAACCTACTTTGGTATGATTCCTATTTTGTATAACGAAACTCAARACCTTCATTTTGGTACCTTAAATGTGACATCTCAAACATTTAATTACCTGGTTTACATATCACAATGCATGAAAATACAACATATCTTGATTTGATTTCTACATTTTCACGTATCTTAATAAAATTGCAGCTAAAATAGAATCACCGTACAAGAATGACKAGATTGCTTACCCAACCACCACCAGAGTGAACAGGTCCGTGGCCAGTGACGGGATCAGTACGCGAAACAAAATATTGCGGGATTGATATTCCGAGGAACAAGGACAATCCCAATACGTAGATGTTTCTCAAGGAGTTGGTGTTTGTAAATTGAATAAACGTAATTCCAAYGGCAGCTGGTGAATCAAGGAGCAACTTGTTAAAGATCGTCATTCAAAGATTGGTGCAAAAGTAACTTACTCGAAGACAATACAACAAAGTCGGCTTTATAAGACGCCAGATATGTTTAAATCTCTTAATAGACTGCTTCATAGGACTTAAGTTTATTCAACAGGAAGTGTCCTTTGTAACTGTGTTACAATAAGCTCATGGAWGGCGTCCTATAAAACCGATTTTGTTGTAGTGAGAACACTCACCAACGAGACCATACAGTACACAGTAAATGGCTGCAAATATCGGCAGAGGGATTGATGCAAAGAACGCCCCAAATTTTCCTGAAAACGAACTACTTTCTAATCAGAAATCGAATGTCAAGACAATCTTTCAGGAAATTGTTGTGAAAGAAAAATGCAGACCGAATATGGAGAAGAAGAACATGAAAGCAGCCGATACTTGAACCACTCTTCGACTTCCCACATTAGTTAAGCCCAAAAGTCCAACATTTTCTCTGCATCATGATTCAGAAATATGTACATTCATAGATAACGGGTTTCTTGCAAAATTAACGATTGAAAGATGTAGAAAAATAAGAAAAAGATCCATTACACAGATGCAGTAGTCCCAACAATCGAACCAAAAATCCCATCAAGAAACTGACCGATACCCTATGCAAGAAAAAAACAAGGTATGATCTCATTGAAACAGAACTCACCAATTGAAAATGACCAAAACAAATGGATCCCAGATTGTGTACAAACCTGCAGACCGATGCTTCGGCTAAAAACATGAGCTGGAGGAGGTGTGGCGCCTGCAAAACGTGATGCAGCGATAAAAGTTCCCGTGGACTGCGCAAAAAGAAAAAACTAAAAACATCACGAAATAAACGAGACACCATGCTATTAAAACAAGAAAACGGCTAATAACAAGAAACCTCTACTGTTGAAACAAGAGCGGCCCCCATCATTCCGAAAACATGACTTGCTCTGAAAATAGGAGTACCCCATTGAAATGGGTACGAGATTTTGATCCTATATTTATTTAACGAAAACAATAAGTCAAACAATGCTACTCCATTAATGGTTTATGAAGGGTGTAACGAAACTGTGATATTTACCATGGAGCGGATTCCATGAGGTAGGAACGATCCGTTCGGCAACTACGTTTGGTTGTCTCACCAACGGTGTTATAAGCACCTGCTACAGTGAGGATAGCAGCAAAAGCCCACACAAGTGCAATGCAAAGAAGCAAAGCGAATCTCTCGAGAATCGGATGAGCCCTTTGATTGAGGTGCTTCAAATACTATAACACAAAAAATCAACAAGTTCCATCAAACACACATGGGCATGTGTATATATATGTATATGTTCACATACATACATACATACATATATATATATATATATATATATAGCGAAGGTTCAAATGAGAACCATAAATATCTTGAGAACCATGAAAACCAGCATATGCATTGATGAATAAACACACAATGAATTTCAACGAGTATATGCACCAATGCATACAYACTTGCATATATTGTACATATACATTGATTGAATATAGTAACTGACAGATACATATTTTGATAGTGTATATGCATCAATGAATATATATATGCATATACAGATTCTCACAGTCCTAAAAACGTTAATGGTTCTCATTTGCACCTTCCATATATAYAAACATATGCGGTTAAAATTTGAAGATACGATACCTGTTGAAAGATAACCAGAAATATAAGCATAGGCAGACCTAGCTCCACACATTTGCCTAGCTGTAACAACATAATGTAGCTATGAGTACGCATTTGGTTATCCAAATTGAGGAATTACAAGCGTGAAATTTCAAGAATGGAGTGGCTTAACCTCAGGAAAGCCCCTTCCAAATAAGCCAAGACCGACTACACAAACATATGCAACGACAATAACAGGGCTGAATAACCTATAATTAGCCCAAAAAACYGTTAAAATTGGAAAAAAGAAATGAAAAGCGATTGAAGATTTGGAATTACATGAAGCAAGTAACATTACTTTGTGAAGTCCCCCCATGCCCTGGTAAATCCAAGAATCATATTGACAAAGGAAGATATTATCAGGGATCCTTGAATAGCCCTCATAGTGTGGAGAAATCTCTATAGCACAAAGCATAAACAACCAGTTAAATAAGAAGTCGAATACCAAATGATAAAAAAGACGAGGGGAAAATTCAAATGAGAACCATAACTATTTTGAGAATCTAGGAACCAACTTTTTCATTATTTGTTCATAATGAATAACCCTAAATATCCATGAATATTATTCATATTCATAATGAATATAATACATTTTCATTATTCATGATATCATCCATCACCATCATCATTAATATCATGTACTTCCATCATTAACATCTATCATGATATTCATCATGGATAAAGCATGAATGAATAGTTGGTTATCAGTTTCTAAAAAAACTACAGTTCTCATGCCCCAAAAAGATTAATYAGAAGTTACATCTATATATACCTCATGCTCAGATGAGAATTCTTCATCCTCAAAATCGTTTATAATTGTCAAAACAGGTAAAAGATACGCAAAGGACGGTCCCATGACCGTAGGAAGCCTGCTACCAAGTARAGTTTGAAAAAGGGTATTCAATCCCGACATAAACAGCACTGCTTGAATTACACGAGCCTTATCGCCCTATATTTACCAATAAAGCACAAAACTTTAGCAAGAACAAGATATAATTCAACCATTTTATATCTTCATCTTGCAACCTTTAATCTTGATTGGCTGCATTATCGAACCTAGAACGATAAATATGTGAATAAACTCACATGATCACCGCCCATTTGTGGAACGAGCCTGGTGGCGATCATAACAACACTTCCCAGCATCACAATGTAGTGTTGGAATGCCAACAGAACAGTATGGACTGTAAAAAGATTGATCAAGAAATTAGAAATGTCAAAGAGAAGTCAATGGTAGTCTCTGATCTGCAAATGGATTAACAAATAATTAAAAAAAGAGGAGTTTTAGGAGGTCAAACTTGACATTCCCTCCATATGAAAGAGCAAAGAGTAATTTTATATTTAWAAAACTAACATGGATTAATTACAATATCAAGAATAATCTTCTCCTAGTTACAGCAAGGGTAACAAAAGTTTACAAAACAATCAAAACTTTCTCTAATTTTAATTAACTTAAAATTGAATCTTAGGGATGTTTGCCTGTTGCTAAATAGTTTGGTACAGAATGATTAAGTGGGCTCATATGATATAGTGCAAAATAAAATATAATTGTTTGAAAATTATTTACAATGAAATTAGGAGGTGGAATGGTTACAGGAGGCTAACGATATAAAATCATTAAGAACCGTYAAAAAGGCAAACTTTTTTTTACAAAACAAGATCAGCTCTTAACAATTCAAAATCCGTCTCTTAATGTAACTATTAAGAGCTAAACAAACAACCCTTGGTACATCTTTCTTTTCCTTTCTAACTCTGAAAACAAAGGAACAATTCACTTTTTCTGCAGGTGGGAAACAGTGGTTGATGAAAAGCTAGAATCATCATTCATCGATGAATAACAAAATAAATTTATAAACCCCTTTTTTACACAAAAAGGGGCTTTTCAAAAGATCCAAGAGGAATCAAATTGAATCAAGGAGTGAATATAGCAAGAATAAGATAGCAAAAAGGGGGRGAGGAATCAAAACAGATTACTGAAAACTTTAAGAGTTTAGAAATGAATAAAGATTCAAGAACAGAAAGAAGCAGGCAAACCCCATGAAGGATTGGAATGGATGCAGTAATTGAGGTGGCTAAGCTGTTCGGAGGGTGGAAAAGCAGGCCCTCTGGCAGCACCCAGCGGCTGTTGGAAGRTGGGCAACGGTGGCGCAGCAACTGATGGGTGGTGTTGATGTCCGTTTTCCACCATAATCAAGTATGTGGTCGAAATTCTCAAAGTGTCTGGTTTGATTTGAAGTAAGAATTTGGTGGAAAAATGAAATTGTTAAATTGGTGTATAATTTCGTTTGTGGGTTTCTTGACTTTCTTGTGTGGCATGTGATGAGAGAGATTATCGGGTTTCGAGGGGCCGTAACGCATTACACATTGGGGTGGCCTACAAACCCCACTTCTCGATGTTATGTTTTTGGCCTTTCCAACGTGCAACTTCTATGAAAATTACCAACATTTTTGGGATTTCAGCTGTTTGTTTATTTTAATACATTTTTTTAAATCTACTTGGGATGGAAAATGAAAAAATAAAAATAAATGTTATGATAAAAAATTATATTAAATATTTAGGAGAAAAATATTATAATAATATAATTAATTTTCTTTAAAATATAAGAAATTAAAAACTTAAAATCTTTAAAAGAATACAATCTACTTTAATACATTTTCCTTTTTTAAAATTATTATATTAATTATATTATTAAAATATTAGATTATTTCTTTTAAATATTTAATTTAAGGTTTCTAATTAATAAAGTTATAATAGAAAATTACTTCTTTTGTTGTAATTCATTTTAGGGAATTTTTTCAAATTTGGTAAATCTTAAAAAATTTGGATAAAGATTTTGAAAATATGTTGAAATAAAGAATTTTTATTTTTTAATTTTTTTTATTAACTTGGATATTAACTCCTTATATTAATGAATTCTTTTAGAAGAACCATTTGTTTCGTGAGTAATTCAGAGTTATTGTATATAAAAAAATGTGTTGACTATACACTTAAAATAAATATAAAAGATTTTAAATTTATTGGAGAATAAAATGCTTTTATGGCAATAATTTTATAATGATTTGTACATTGTGCATATGAAGTTGTACATTCTCTTTCTTTGTTTTTTTTTAGGTTGGAAATGGTGCCTAGTTTTTTGATAACCCACGACCACCAGTAGTCTACACCGTAAGGTTGACTCTGACGTCTCATCCTCTCTTTCTTCCTTTTTATATATACAGATTTTTAGTACTTGATAAAAATCCTGAATATTTTATTATTTTTTAAAATTTACTTTAATATAACATTACTTTTCGTAGACTTTTGTGGCATTAAGGGTGCGTTTGGTACACTGGACAGGRACAGGATAGAACAGGGATCTTTGTTCTATGTTTGGCAGGAATTTTATATAGAACAGACAAGAACAGAGTGGAACAGGCTTGTTCCACCCTTACCCCATGGAACAGGGTGGAACAAGGTGAAACAAGGTGGAACAGACTTATATTTTACCAAAATAACCTCAAAATAAAACTTAATTCTCTTCTAAAACATCAAATAGGTCTTTCTTTTACATTTTATTCATTTTTTAAATTTTATTTATCGTATTTTATGTTTCTTAAACTTTCATTTTACTGTCCTCTAAATATTATTTTTATACGGTTTCTATATTTTTATTAATTTATGTAATTTATTATATATTAATAATAAWAAATAATGTAGAAACGAGATAAAAATAAAAATAGAAAACCACATAAACTTTTTATTTAGTGTCATTTTAATTGTTTTTTMAAAAACTTCAAATGATATATTTTGTTATAAAAAATAATTATTCTATTATAATTTAATAAATTACATAAATTGTTTTCTTGATTTTATCACCGTCAAACGTATTGTGTAAGGTTTACGCATGCAATTTGTTGTTTTCRATGAGTTTTGTATGTTTTCCCTTGATTAGAGTTGTAAATATTCGATTTTGATCTTATAAGAGTGATTGTACAKGTGATAAGTGAATTCTTTTGTTTTCTGGAATCCAAGTTTTGTGAATGTGATRATACTATATGGGATCGCTAGCCAAATTGTTTTCTTGATGCTTATATTTCATTTACTGTTTGATATTTAATCCATTTTAATTGATTGTGCGCTTGTTGGTAGTAGTTTTTTCTTATTAGTATGGAATGCATATAGATTTGCTTCGATAATGGATTCTTGATGCTTATATTATATTTACCTTTTCCATATATCATTAGTTGATTATGAAATCATGTATTTTTGCAAATGTATTTTTGCAAGTAGTAGTGGTTTGATGTAAGTTATACTTTGCACACCGTATTTGTTAACATTTATATTGATAATTTAGTGGAAAAAATAAAACTAAACAGCTCACTAGGAGTAAATTGGTCATTTTAACCAGTTCTGTCCAGTCCTGTCATGTCTTACCAAACGCTGAACAACTATCATGTTCTATCATGTCCTGTCCTGTCCTGTCTTGTTATGTCTTGTCTGCGTACCAAACGCACCCTAAAGACCGCTAATTAATAAAGAACAATATTTATATGGAAAATATTAAATTATAAATAATTAATTAGGTAATTTGACATAAATATACATATATCAAGTAATTCTATGATATGTAATTGTATCTTATAATCTACATCTATACTATATKATAAARCATTTGACAAAAACTCTTAAAAAYCATTTTTTATGCACRAARTATTGTTTATTAATGCATATTACTTGAAATTTAGGATTACAAGTAAATTATGCGTAAGTACAACTTATTAAASCTTTATTTTTGAATTTGTATAACTAACTGCAGATAAACATAATCAAATACAGGATAAACTTATAAATTTAAAATTTAATTAGGATAATCATTAAGTTATAACAAAATTATTATTTTTATAAAATTTATATTGTTAAGCCAAAAATATTAGATCTAAATTAAATAAAAATTTTGAATTAAAGAAATTGTACAAAAAAAGGAGAAAGTTTAAATAGTTAATTTGATATTAATATCATATTTTTTTTAAATTTCATGATATCTTCAAATTTATTTTTATTCAAAAAATAAAAACATTTTCTTTCTCAAAACCACGTAAATCGTATTATATCRACAAAAACGAAAAATAAAACAAAACATTAAAATGAAGATRTATCTCGCTGCATTGCACGAGTAACCTTCTAGTTATATTTATAAAGAATTTGAGATAAATTCTTAAAAATTATTTTTATGTATTAAGTATTTTGTTTATCAGTGTATATTACTCAAATTCAAAAGTTACAAGTAAATGTTGTATGAGTACAACTTTTAAGAGCTGCAAGTTTAAATTTATATAATTAACCAATAGACATAATCAAATATAAGATAAAAATCTAATTTTGAATATAAGAATTTAAAAT